GGATTATTCCTATACCACAAGACATACAGACAAATGAATGCCATTGTTTTGTCACTCATTAAATACTCTTTCACATCAAGTCATCATTAAAAAATTTTCGGTTAAATTTGACCACTAAATTGAGTTATTTACCGAGTCTCATATTTGAAATTCAATGATTATAATGTTTTATATTTAGTAAACTTGTTTAGTATAGTAACTAACCGACAATATGTGTGGCGTAATTATCGCGTTGTTATAGATATTGGGGCCATATATATTAGACTTGCGGGTCATTAAATACATTAATTATTGTTTTTATATTTTGTTTATATGACTGAATGTGACATTAATTTTGCTTCTACTGTAGACCAACACAACGCATCTCAACCCCTATTCATATACATGGCATACCAGGCCGTACAGCCTACACAAGATCCGATACCTGAGCCCAACATGAAATTATTCTCAAACATTGGGTCTGAGGACAGGCGACTATTAGCCGCAATGGTCTATAGTATGGACGAGTCGATCGGCACTATTATGGAGGCCCTGCATAGCAAACATATGCTCGACAACAGTATTGTTATATTTATTAGCGATAACGGGGCTCAACCCCGAGAGTTTGATCGTAAGCCAACTATTATAATAATCAATCACTATTATTATTAATTCAGTATATTTAGTAAATCAATGTGTATTTATACAGATAACATACATCCGCCAACTAATGATGGCTTAAATTTACCCTTAAGGGGCGGCAAAAGCTTGTTATACGAAGGAGGTTTGACTATATTTTCTATTAATCATGTCAATTTATTTAAGAAAAGTTATATTTATTCTTCCGGAAAATTGTTTTTAACACTTATAGCATTACGAGTGCCGGCACTTGTGTGGAGTCCACTGCTAAACAAAAGTGGTTACGTATCGCAGGCTTTGGTTCACATCACTGACCTTTTGCCCACTGTTTTGGACGCTATAGATGGCACCGGAATTGATGACCAGGATCATATTTATGGTACAATTTTACCATTGTAAATTTAAACTTACTTTGTTTGTTTTATTGTAATAATTAAGGTATATCCCAATGGCATGTCCTGTCAAACAATGAACGCCCAGTTCGGTGGGAAGTCCAGCACAATGTCGACCAGTTGTGGAATTCATCGGCCATACGATGGTATGACTGGAAACTAATTCAAACCAGAAAGCATTTCGGGCCATCACTGGCCGATTACGGCCCCTATACTCAGCCACTGTTAACCGAAACCCTATCGTTTCCAACCCGTCGGTCAACACATCGGCTAAATAGCAAAATGTATGGCGTGTTAACACAGATGGGGAGAAGACCGGACTATACAGTGTTGACCGAATCTGAAGTTGAGTGCCGACCGGTGCCCGACTCACACCTCCGGCCCGAATGTATGTCTGATTATTGTCTGTTTAACGTAAGACACGATCCGTGCGAACAGCACGACCTCATTGGCCAAATGGACCGCCGATTTGTGCAATTCTTGCGCCACAAAATGGTTACATTTAACGCCACTTCGGTTTCGCCTCTAAGTCTTATACCCGATGATCCCAAAGCGGATCCTAAACTATATAACTATACATATGTTAATTGGTTAGACTATCATGAAACTGAACATGGTCAAGCTGTACTCAATAATTATAATTAGCATATTCATAATGCTAAAATTATTGTTGTTAATAAAACACATATTTTATTTCTTTAATTTAAGAATATATTAATATAAAAACAATACACTTAGAGTCGTTTATTTTCACATTGTATTATTTCACAAGTTGTCTAAATTCACAAATATCACTAACTCCATCTTGGGGTATATGTTTTAGTATGGGTTAATTTCACAGCTCTATAATGTCACTTTCACACATAAATGTGATTATTTTAACATGGTGTGCATAGGAAGCATATTATATTTTCACATTTTAATGCAACCAATTTTTCATAATTTCAAGCAAGTTTGTGAATAAAAATTAGTGTAAAACAGTGAAAGTATATATTTTTAACAAAATGTGTTAATGGTGGCTTGTAAATCACTCAAATAACTCATTGTCATCCATTATTTACAGTCTATTATCAAAATCATGTTTAAAAACCATGTATATGTATAGACAAATGAAAAAAGTGATGCAACATTTCTATCTATAATTTCACATTTTGTAATTTCACACAACGAAAACTATGGTCCCAATTGTGTGAAATTAAACAACTCTAAGTGTACGTGTTTTATTTTATCACGGTTATCATTGATAACTTATCAAGTAGTTGTAAATTGTAAATTAAAAAATATATAAAGTATTGACATTTAAAATAAAATTATTATATTTAAAATTGACTAATATTATTAGAATATTAATATTATTAGTGTAGTATTTAAAAATATAATTATTTATATTTGAAAATAAAAAACAAGTTCAGTCTCATAGATTAACATGTAAAAATTGGCTTAGTTTGTTATTAAACCGTTTAAAAACGTGAAATGTGATAGTGAAACTTCATAGGTCGTCCGGCCATATAAAGTATACTACATGTTTTTTCATAGATAATATTTAATTCATTGAACTAATTATATTCCATTAAAAATGTGGTTGTTCAAAATTATGATTTGTATTACCCAACATTTCTAATAAAATTATTATTTAAAATATATTAATTATATTATTGCTGCTATTTTTGGTTTCCATCTAAGTTTTATCAAAATGTCAAAATATAACACGTATACAAAAAGAAAATATTTTACTTTTACTTTATCAAATAATATGCTTTATATTTATGAGTGTTTGTCATTGTTAAATTTATTCATATATAATAGTTAACTTATCGCTTTATTATTTTACAAAGATTTATGATCTTATATTTCTCATAATTTATTTAAATAATTTATTATTACAAACTATAATAGGCTATATTTTCCAGAATATACCAGTGGAAAACATTTAAAGCTTATATAGCATAATCAAATACTAACAAATTTAGTTTAGTTTTAATTAACTTAAGTTGTTAACATATAAAAAATTATTCAAAACAATATCACCCTTTTATTATTTTATTAGTAACAAATAATTGTAAATAACAAAACAATTTGATTATTTGACATAGTAAATCAGTAAATAATAAACCGGCTAATCTACATAAAGCATGCTATAAATTACCTGATCGTTTAGTTTTATTAAAATCCATCATAAAATACGAACGGTTTAATTTGGTGCATGATGTTTTATGCATGCTGGATCTTCTTCATTACCTATGCTTTTATATTTGTCAGGCATAACATACGTATCTGTAATTTTTATAATTTATAGTCATTTATAGAAATTTATCTACAAAATTATAAAATAATATAAGACTGTAGCAATTGTCTTTTCTTGTTAACACAATTGAGTATATTTAATTTTATTTGCACAACCATATAATTGATAAATTAATTGATATGATTAAAGACATATAATATAATTTAGAAATAAATCATACATATTTTTGATAGGCAATTGCAAATATTGCAAAATAAAAATAAATTTTATGATACGTATAATTTTGTATATAAAGTTATGAAAAATTTTCAAATAAATTAAATTGAATACTTTGTTTAACATTGTTATAATATTTCAGAATTTATACTTAAAATGTATTTTAAATATTGCTTTTTAATTATAATTTTAACTTGTATGTTGATTAATTTTTTACAATTCATTAAATATTATTTATAAAATTCTGTACATTATATTTTAGTCATAAAATTCATAAACTCAGAAGGTGAATGCGGTGATGGTTGGGACGTATTCCACGACGAGTACTACAATATATGCTATAAGTATTACCCAGATGGTTTTGGGGACTATAAAAATGCGGTCAATTTTTGTCAAAAACAATCGGATTCATCGCTACCAACAATTAATTCGGAGGCAGAACAACATTTTCTTAACGAAATGTTATACAAGTACGATATGATAGACAATGTATGGCTCGACGCTAGCGTTGACAACAAACACATTGTTTGGGCGGACAATACAAGCGCCGACTTTGAGAACTGGCTAACGGGTCGCCCGATTAACGATAGCAGTTGTGTACAAATGCTAACTGAGCATGCTAATATTGGTAAGTGGCTAGATATATCATGTACAAAAAAGAATGCCTTTGTATGCAAACGTGTCGGGTTGTGGTCGTGTCAACAAAGAGAACGTTTGATCAGGGACAATTTGCGTAAATTGGAACGAGGCGATGCTAAAATTGTTATATTGGACCAGATTCAAAATCAGCATAAAAATAAATTTGCTCAGTTGGTTCAGATTTTAGATAGTTTTGCGTCTAAAATAACACTATTAGAAAAGAGTAGAGATAAATGTGTTTCTAAATTAATTGAGTTAGAAGGAAATCAAAATAACCATGATTCAAAAATCACTCAGTTAGAACAAAATAATAATCAACATCAATATAATATTACTCAATTAGATGAAACTCAACATCAACATTTTGTTAAAATAACGGAGTTAGAACAGAATAAAAACCAACATGAAACTAAAATCACCCAACTAGAACAGAAACAGCAAAATGATGATTCAGAAATACCTAAGTTAGAACAAAGTCAAAGCACTCAGCAATCTAAAATTACTAAGTTAGAACAGAATGTTATTGATAACCAATTGAAAATCACTCAGTTGGATAAGAAAAATGTTCCAATTGGCTTTATTTACGTTCAGATGCCGCACCAGACTCCACCATATATTTTATGGCCACAATACACGTGGTCCGATGTGACTGCTAGTTATGCGGGTCAATTTTTCCGGGCTGATGGCGCTGATAGTCTAGGTTTTAATAATGGTGTGCAAGAGAGCAACGCACCTAGACTATCTGCGGTACGCTCCCCTTATCATCCTGGGTACTCGGTCCACGAGGTTACCCTAACACCAGGTGTTTGGAGTGGACATTTATATTCTGGTAACGACGGGGGAGGGGGTAGATATGCTAATCAATTTCTGGTTAGCGGGGGTGAAGTGCGGCCCCGCAATCAAGCCGTGCGCATATTTAAACGTATCAAGTAAATTAATTACATTGTTTAATTTAATTTATAATATTGATATATTTTTATATGTATTATCCTCTTTCAAAACACAACTTTATATAATAGAAGAGAATATAATTATTAAGCTGAAAGTAACAATTAATACAATAAGTAGCAATCATAATTATATATATAATATTATATTATAACAATAAATAAAATTTTGATTTGAAATAAAGCGTTTGTAATAATTTATGTCGTTGTAGTACTTATCTTTGTCAAATTAAATTGTTTCACATTAAAGTGTAGAAGAAATAATTGTTGTTTATGTGCTAGAATAAACAACAAATTGACTGGGTGAAGTTCTGCCCCGTAACCAAGCCGTGCGCATATTTCAGCGAGTTAAATAAACAACAAATATGTTATATCTAAAAACATAAGAAATATTTTCCATAATATATATTATTATTTTTAAAATACTGTAGATGATTTTGATATACTCTATGTAATTCGCGTGTTATAGTAATAAATATGTAATTTTAAATACATTTAAATGTATTATTGATTAGTTATCATAATTTGTAATTCTAATCTTGCAATGTAGTATAAATTATTAATGTAAATTTATTATTATTATTATTACATTTAATAAACTGAATTGCATTAAAGTAATCTTGATACAAAATTAATGTATTACTTAATTTTGGTTATTTACATATTAAATTTAAACTATAAGACTGAATGTGTCTGATCTTTTAAAATGACAATGTTATAATTTGATATAGAAATTGATTTATGATCAAGATTACTTTAATCTAATTTATTACATGGTAGTAAATACATTTCACTAAATTCAATTTAGTAATTTATAATTTTTATCCTTATAATTTAATAAAAGCGAATTATGTACAGTTATAATTAACTTACAATTACAAATTCATTAACAATTTAGGGACTAATAAAAGTCAATATAGATTATTTCAAGTTTTAAGATAATTTTATCAATTAACTGATATTAGGATATATTATATTTTATGTATAATAAATAATGTTTTAGAATTGTCATAATAAATTAAACAAATATAATATTAAGACCTATAATTAAAACATTTACATTTTACATGCAAATAGTCAACCATATAACAATTTCAAAAATATTTTATTATTCGCCCTAATGATAGTGCACAGTAAATTTTATAACAAGAGGATTTAAATTGTTTATTTCATTGTTATAATTTATTACCACTAAATTTACAAATAAAACAATTAAAAAGATTGACATGCTAATAGAATAGTAATTATTATAATTTATTTTGTATATAAGCAAAACATTATAATAAATAATTATAGTTAAATTCCAACATATTTTATATACAATTTTCTCATTAAAATAGAATTTAACATAACTAACAATATTGCAAATGGAAATGTATTTAATACATTTAACTTTACTAATTGTTTTATTAACTGGCAAGTTTATAAAAATATATGTATCATTATTATGCCACATTAATTTCATTTTAAAATGATATATTTTAGCTAAGTTCATTAGCTCCGATATTGTGTGCGGTGATGATTGGGACATATTTCACGACGATGACACTGATATATGTTATAAATATATGCCGGGTGACTTGAAAGACTACCAAAGCGCAGTTAATTTATGTCAAAAGCAACAAAACTCAACACTACCAGCAATTGATTTACAAACTGAACAAGATT